AGTCCCCTGATGATTTATCCACTTGCTTGTGCCACCTGTGCTGCCCAGAGCTGCTGGCTGGGTTACCACTGTCTGATTTCTCCCTGTGGCTTCTCAGAGCATGGACTCGATTTTGAGAGAAGCCTCTGGAGAGCCCACTTTCCAAGGCAGTGAGGTGGGAGTTGCATGTTCCTACATGGGCTGATGTCGGAGCTCAGTGTCATTCCTGCCAAACTCTTTCGGTTAATGTAATCATATCTGTTCAAATCGGTGTGGGGGCGGGGCTTGACTGCTGTTAACAGGGGCTGGCAAAGTCACCTTAGGGAAGAGCATAGGACAGTACTATTTCGGCAGCCTTCTGACAATATAATCTACTTCATACTTTTATTTTTTCCATTTTTCTTGTTTGTTTAAGTAGGGTGTGTGTGCATGTGTGTATGTGCACGCGCACGCACGTGCACACAAACACGCCTGCACAAGTCATGTTACATGTATGAGGTCAGAAGACAACTTGCAGGAGTCATTTTTTTCCTTCCACCAATGTGGTGCCAGAGGTGGTCAGACATGGCCGCATGTGCCTTGCTCACTGGCCCCACCATGTATTTATTTTGAAGACACCATGTTTCTCTGAGAATCTTAATGGTAGTTTTCTTCTCCCTAGAGACCGTTTCCATTGAACACATAAGAAATACTAAGGAAAAAAAAAAGATATTTAAGTCTTGTTTTCTCCTAGTCTAGATTCCCTAGTAAATAAACTGTCTTGCACTGACAACCAGACACTCCAGGGGCTGATAGGGAAAGCAAGTGAGCTGTAGCGGACTTCACAGTTCTGCTTGCCTGGGGCCCTCTGTGTTTTGTTGGGGACCACAGACTTTCCTGGGGCTCTTCTGCAGAGAGGAAACCTTGGCCTTAGCCAGGCTTGAGGTGGAGACCCAACTGTTTTGTAAACAGCTTCCAAATCTTCCTTGAAAAGAGTTCGTACACCAATCCCTGAACCTTTGGAAGATCTCCCAGAGTAAACAGCTCACTCTGTCTCTCTTGTGGGCTAGAACTCTAGGGTCCTCCCTCCTCTCTGCAGAGTTGTTCTTGGCCAGCTCCTTTTTCTTCACCTAAGGTCACCTGTGTCTTCCTTCCCACTCCATTGAGTACCCAGATGCCTCTCCCCTTGGCCTGGGTTTATTTATTTTGTGTTGTGCCGCAGAGAGTGATCATACTGTCCTTATGGCACGTCATACTTTTGTCCCCTTTCCTTTACCAACTCTCCTTATTACTGGCAGAGAAAGCCAAGAGTCTGTTTTGAGAGTTTAGTCTTCTGTTTGAGTCACGTGCTCACGACCTCTGTTTTCAGGTTCTCTTCTCCCTTTTCACTGGGGAATTTTTTCGTTCCAGTCTGGAAGCCTTAATAAGCTGTTAGCATAGCATTCATATATATTTCCCTCAAACTTCTGTTCTTCATGGAAATCCCTTTCTCTATGATGTCTTGTTTTCCTGGCTCCCCTCTTTAAGAGAACACTCTATTTGTTGAGATTGGGATGATTAGTGAAAAATTGTACTGAATTGCCATCATTATTTACCATGATGATAAATGGACAGAGTCAAAGGCATTATTAGTTTGTTCTGTTATCCTTCAAGTCAGGTGGCTGTGTACTGCAGACAACATGCATTCACAGTCTGTGTGCTTGTCTGTGTATACCACCACCACTGTGTTGTCTTCACTCGTGTGGGTTTAGTTACTTACAGTCTAACATCCTTCTAAGTCAGCCAAATGACTCCCTTTATCATTAGCATTACATTAGCATAAATTCATTACTCTTCACTATTATTTATATTCCATTAGCATAAATGGCCATTTTCTGAGACAGTCGTGATTTCTCAATGTTTTTACTGATCATTTGGCGACTGTCATTTGTCGTTTTCCTTGTTTTATTTTGTCTTGTTTTTGAGGCCTAGTCTCTCTGTGTAGCCCAGACCCCTTTGCCTCTGTCCCAAGAAGACTGGTATTAAAGGCACTCACTGACCACCGTACCTGACAGTTTTTGAGTTTATATTCATTGAAGTTCAGAGGACCAGAGTGTACACATTCCTTTTCATGGATATCTATGGAGTAGTTTTAGGGTTACAGAAAAATTGCACTATTTCCCCTGTTTTGAAATCTTGTATTAGTATTTGTTTTTAAATGTGTGTGCGTGCATAGGGGTCCTTGTGGAAGACAGAAAAAGGGTGCCATATCCTTTTTAATTATAGTTCCAGGTGGCTGTAGCTGCCTGCCACGGGTGCTGGGACCCAAACTCTGATCCCCCGGAAGAGCATTAAGCGCTCTAAACCACTGAGCTCTCCCACCCCATGTGTGGTGTGTTTGCTGTAACTGACTCCCCGCACCCTTTCCCTCGCGCGTGCCAGGCAAGTGCTGTATGGATGAACTGCACCCTGGCCCTCAGAAACTAACTCCTTATCATTCCGAGGGGTACATACTGTCCCTTAACCACAGTCTCGCGGAGTAATCTCCCTGTCCTCTAACAAGAGGGCCCTGCTTACTCATCCTGCCTCCCGTCTCCCACACCTCTGACAAATATTGATCATATTACTTTCACTACGGTTTTGTCTTTGTGAGAACATCTTGTGCTCGGGACGACATGGTTGTGGTCTTTTACAACTGGCTCTTTTGTCATGCTGGGAAAGCTTCTTGTATCATTCAGTAGTGTTCCGTTGTGTTGAAGTGTTAGCCCTGAGCGAGGCCTTTATGGTATGACAAAGCTTACCATTGTCCAGAAGTGTTCCCGCCCACCACTGTAATCTCCATGACCTTATTAAACTAAGCACACTAAGGAACGAGCCTACCCCTGTATAAACTGTATAGGCTCCCTGCATAAAGCCCCCACACTTTGGAAATTAATCCTGTGGTTTGCCTGCTGTAAAAACTACATCTCTAGTTCTTTATGTGTTTCACCTTTTTTAAAGTCGCTGAGATGTGAACTCATTGCTCTCAGTTGTGGCTGTACCCCAGTATGTTTATGTATCTGCTTATTGAAGGACATCTTGAATATGTCCAAATTTCAGCAATTTTTGTTTGTTTGTTTGTTTTACTTTCTATTTTTAAATTGTTTTATTGAGCTAATTTTGGCAATGTTGCTGAAAATGAAGTCGCAAACGTTCATTTGCAAGCTCTTGCAGCTCGCTCGTGCAGTGCCAGGAACGAGAAACGAGATTGTTGGCTGAATTGTTGCTCCACGTTAAGTTGTGGAAGAAACTGCCCAGCTGCCTGGCCGTACTGTTTTCTGTTCACAAACCTATTTGAGTTGTTTGAATGCAGACTTGAATTTGTAGAGAGCTAGTTTGGAAAGCTCCGCCATTATGATGCAGTCCTGCACCCCGTCCTCTGTTCTCTTCGTCTAGGGCTCCCCTGGCCCATCTGCCCAGACGCTTTCCGTGTTGTCTCCCCGGTCTCAGAGACCCTGCCAGTGTCTATGATAGTTTTCTTTTTGTTCCTCGGACTGAATGCTGTCACTGAGCTTTTCTTCCGCCTCCCTGGGTCTTTCTTATGGCAGCTCGGTCCTGCTTTTGGACCTCTCGAGTCATTCAAGCGTTGTAATGTGTCAGTTTCGTTTAGTGTAGTGATTCTCAACTTGCGGGTAGCAGCTCTCTGGGGGGGGGGATGTCAGACAACCCATTCCCAAGAGTCGCCATCAGAAAGCACAGGTATTTTCATTCTGATTCATAACAGTAGCAAAATTACAGTTAGGAAGTGGCAGTGAAAATAATTTTATGGTTGGGGTCACCACAACCTGAGAACCTGTATTAATGGGTCGCAGCATTAGGAAGGTTGAGAACCACTGATTTAGTCCTTATAATGTGTCCATTCTAGATTTCTTTGGGTCCACTTTTAAAAGACTGAATTCTTTTTACTGCCGTTCTCAATTTGGTTGCCTATCTTATTATTTTGCTTAATTCTTAAGTTGTTTGAATAGATGCCTAGTGGTTATTTAGAGTGTTAAAGCCAGTGCCGGGCCTTCTTTGGGGACAGAATTGACCACTTTTCCTCTATTTGTGGGACAGATTTTTTATTTCTTTGCATGCCTTGGAAATGTTGGTTGCTGTACCTGGACATCTTGTGATGTAATGCTGACTCTGGAAATCAGACCTTCAACCCTGTCCTGCCAAGACTTGTTGTCGTTGTTGTTGTTTTAAGAGACTGTATTATTGTGGGAAGCCACTCAGGTCTCTAATCAGGTCTGTAATTCCAGAATCGGAGGTTGGAGGATTACAGATTCACAGAAGGCCTTAGCTCCAAAGTGAGATCTTGCCTCAGGAGAAAAAGAAAGTTAAAAAAAGGGAAGCTGTTATTCAGTTAGCCTTGCTAATGACTGGATAGAAGTACTTGTCCTTTTCTCTAAACTAGAACAGGGAAAGGATTACTTAAAGGGCTATTGTTTGTATTTTAAAATTAGTACTAATTTTATTTTTAATTCTGTATATTATGTATTGTTGTAAGTAGGTTGCCTGAAGTCACGGTGGTTTTGAGCCACCTGACATGGGTGCTGGGAACAGAATTCAAGTCCTAGAAGAACGGCAACCATTCTTAACCACTGAGCCATCTCTCAAGCCCCTATTGTTGATCGGTTAGTGGTAGAAACTTTAAGATCAGTGATTGGGGGAAATTGCGGTGAGCGGCTTACTTAACTGTGAGGTTGTTAATATGTCAGTGAACACAGGGAGTCTCCAATAAGATTAGACTGTTGAAGTGTTCCCTAGCACTTGTTTCGGGAGTGCTGTTGGAGGGTCTTTTAGAAAGCTTAACCTGTCCTAGATCCTTGGTTTGAGGCTTGGGGCGGCCGGGGTGGGGGGCAGAGGAACCAAGTTTAACCTAAATCACAAACATAGCATTAGCAAAAGAAGTAAGATTAGAGACCTTAGTAGGGTCCGGGTTTGAGGGTAAACATACTAGAATGGTTGCTTTCTGCGGGTGTGCATACTACAAACACACCATCAGCACCCCTTCACTCTCTTCCCCTTCCATTTTACAGACTGTTGGAAAGCCTGCTGGGACATGTCATCGGTGCTGGATGCCTGGTGCGCTACAGAAACTTGGCAGCAGGGCAGCTCTGAGCGAATGCAGGATGTCACCAGGAATCAGGTCCCCGAGTCCAGACTTCCTGGGATTCTAAATGGTAAAAAGTCTGAATGTTTTCCTTAATGCCATCCTATTTATTTTTCACTTTGTCTTATTAGTATTAACAAATTATTTCCTAATGAACTATGTTAAAAGTACAGTCGTTTATTCTGGTGTCAAACACGTACTTCAAGCCTGGCATGGTAGTCTGTGCCTGCAGTCTCAGCAAGTACTGGGAAGCTGAAGCCGCAGGGGCTCATCAGTAGTTCAAGGCCAACCTGGCCTACAAAAAAACAACAGAAACACTCTGTCCTACACACACACACACACATACACACACCCAAAAATTGTTTCAGATCTGGTGTGGATAATCAGAGTATTAGTTCCATACCAACTGCCATGTCACAAAACTGTTCTTGTTTGTGGGGGTTTGTTCTGGTATTGTTGGTTGGCCTGGAACTCACACACATCCAATTACCTCTGGTTCCTGAGTGCTGGGATTAAAGACTTTCAAACACTGAGCTTACAGAATTGTTCCTAATAAACAAAGCAAAATAAAAACACCGGGAGCTGGAGCGATGGCTCGGTGGTTAAGAACACTTGCTGCTTTTGCAAAGGTCCCATGTTTGGTTCCCAACACACACATTGGGTGTCTCATAACTGCGTGTGTTAACTCCAGTTTAGGGACTCTTTGGTCATTGTGGGTACCTGCACTCATGTGGGCATGCTGCCCTCATAAAAACATAAGTAAAAATAAAATCTTACAGAAAATGTAAAAAGGCCGGGGAGTTAGCACCATCAGGCAAGAACTTGCTTTGTAAGCCTAAGAACCTAAGTTCAATCCCCCCAAAAACAAAGTTGGTGTGATTGCATAGGTTGTTGTCTCAGTGCTAAAGAGTCGGATAAAGTCAGGTCCCCGGGGCTCAGTGACCAGCCAGCCTAATACCCTTGGTGATCTATGGGCCTGTGAGAGACCCTGCTGCAGAAAAACATGGCAAAGAGCAACTGAGAAACAATAGCTACCACGTGTCTACAGGCATGTACAAACTCACCCCGCTCCCAAGTGTGTGTGCCTGTACACACACACACACACACACACACACACACACACAATATTTGAATGTTTACAAGCTCTTTATATACTAAAAATTGGTTAGGTTCTTGACATTTGAGTTTAGACAATCGATAGAAGTGGGGTTTTGTTGTTGTTGTTCTAATTTTGAGACACATAGCCTCAAATTTACTCTGTGTTCAGAGATAATCTTGAACTTCTGATCCCTCTGCCTCTACCTGCATGTTGGGGTTATGGATATGCTATCTGCCTGATAATATGTGGTGCTGGCCACTGAAACTAGGGTTTCTCGCATGCTAAGCAAGCGTCCTACCAACTGAACTACGCTCCCAGCCCACATATTGTTTTTCTAAAGATTTCTAGCCAGTGTAGGAGACGCAAAGCTGTCTTGTTTATTGAACATATTATCGCTGAGGAGCTGCACATAGGGGTTCACCCAACAGCCACCAGTCTGGCTGCAGTTCAGCTAAGCCTTTCCAGTCCACTTGCTTCCAGAATCTTCCAGAATCTTCACTATTGTTTTTATACTTATCTCTAAATGCGTCATAGTCCTCAATCAGCAAAAAGCAGAATGGATCCGGCGCTTGCACGTCTCCTGGCTGCTCAGGAGGAGCTCGGTATTGATATTAAGATTATTAAGATAGAGGTGTTAGTTTTAGAACTGGCAGGGTAGTGACACTCCTGGCGTGTGGACAGTTCAGTAATTACAGTCACGCTCTTCCTCTGTGTTCTTGTACTTCTGTATACCTGAAGGTCAGATTGTCCATTTTTCTGAGACAGTCTCGTTTTAGCCATGGCTTTCCTGGAACCCACTACACAAACCCGGCTTGCCTCTGCCTCCTGAGTGCCGAGATTAAAGACTTGTGCCACCACATTGAGCCTCCGCTGTTTATTGTAGGATATTTTAGCACATCCTGAATTGGGTTTGGTTTGATTTTTTTTTTTTAAATCCCAGCATCCTGCATTAATATGAGAACAATGGGTCTTTTTGGAGCAATCTTAAGGCAGTCTTGTTTTGTTTGAAGCCGCTGGCCTCGTAGCACAGGAGAGCGTTTTGAGCTTGAGTATTCTGTGAACAGTCCCACTTACTATGTCTTTCGCTCCTTTTTAGCACTGTCCTGTCTAGTGACATCTTGTCCTACTGATAAACTGGCAACTCATCTGGCCACAACCGAGGGAAACTTAAGGAAATACCATTGGCAGCCAAGGCCTAGAAGATTGCCCCATCTCGAAGGGAAGTCTCTGACTGTCATTTGAAATGCTGAGAAATTTGTTTCGGAGGAGACTTTTGTCTTATCCTACAAAATACTACTTCGCGGCGCTCGTCTTCTCTTTAGTCATCTTCTCTGTCCTAAGAATTCATCAGAAGCCTGAATTTGCTAGCATCAGACACTTGGAGCTTGCTGGAGATGATGCTAATAGCAACATTAATTGCACCAAAGTTTTACAGAGTGACCCCGATGAAATCCAGAAGGCAAGGCTTGAGTCACTAACAGTGAAATTCAGGAAGCGCCCGCGGTGGACACCGCATGACTATATAAACATGACCCGCGACTGTGCCTATTTCATCTGGATGCGCAAATATATTGTAGAGCCCCTGAGTAAGGAGGAGGTAGACTTTCCAATCGCGTACTCCATAGTGGTTCATCACAAGATTGAAATGCTTGAGAGGCTCCTGAGGGCCATCTATATGCCTCAGAATTTCTATTGCATTCACGTGGACAAAAAAGCAGAGGAGCCCTTTTTAGCTGCGGTAACGGGCATTGCGTCCTGCTTGAAGAACGTCTTTGTGGCCAGCCAGCTGGAGAACGTCGTCTATGCGTCCTGGAGTCGGGTTCAGGCTGACCTCAACTGCATGAAGGACTTGTACAGCATGAGTGCAAACTGGAAGTACTTGATCAACCTCTGCGGTATGGACTTCCCTATTAAAACCAACCTGGAAATTGTCAGGAAGCTCAAGTCATTCCTGGGCGAAAACAGCCTGGAAACCGAGAAGATGCCTCCCAACAAGGAGGAAAGGTGGAAGAAGCGACACACCGTTGTCGACGGGAAGCTGACGAACACGGGGGTGGCCAAAGCGCAGCCGCCGCTCACAACTCCTCTTTTCTCAGGCAGTGCCTACTTTGTGGTCAGTAGGGAATATGTAGGCTATGTGCTAGAAAATGAGAACATCCAAAAGTTCATGGAGTGGGCACAGGACACGTATAGCCCGGATGAGTACCTCTGGGCCACCATCCAAAGGATCCCTGAAGTCCCTGGTTCTCTCCCGGCAAGCCATAAGTATGACTTGTCCGACATGAATGCTGTCGCTAGGTTTGTCAAGTGGCAGTACTTTGAAGGGGATGTTTCCAAAGGCGCTCCTTACCCACCGTGCAGTGGAGTCCACGTGCGCTCCGTGTGCGTTTTCGGAGCTGGTGACTTGAGCTGGATGCTTCGCAAACACCACTTCTTCGCCAATAAGTTTGACATTGATGTTGACCCCTTTGCCATCCAGTGTTTGGATGAGCATCTGAGGCGTAAAGCCCTGGAGACCTTAGAACACTGAGTGCTGTCAGGAATCCCGGGGAGAATAAGGATACACGCAGCGTTCCCCTCATCCGCTTCCTTTGTCTCATTTGGGGTCCTCCTTGGGGTGATGATTTTTAAGTCTGTGTCCGAGAAGCTGCATGGAATTGTGTAGGATCCAGGTACAAGAGAGGATGACACAGTCAGTGTTCTGGAGTCAAAATGAGGAGAGAGGGAGGATGGATGGAGGCTGGGAAAGATTTTATGGACAGAGGGGACTCAGGTGACTGGGAAAGAGGCCAAAGACACAATCAGCCTCCCCAGCTAATCAAAGAAGCCAGGTACTTGATCCAAAGGAGATTTGATTTGTGCCAAAATTCTCTTGAGAATTTTAAACACGGTAATTTTCTTGACGTGAATAAGTTTGTAGTAGCAACCAATCACAAAGATATGTTTACCTTGTACAGTTTTTGGAACAGACATTCAGTTTTACTATTAAGTTTTCCTTGTAAGGAATCTCCTTTGTGCTGTGACTCTGTGGGGTGGTGCCTCTGTGTCGTCTCAGGGGTTTAAAGTATACTCAGCATGAATATCTCTGTCTTTGTTTTTGCTTACAACCATACATACGTGTTTCCAAAAACAGGGGGAAAGGATAATTTCTAGCTCACCGGTTTCTATGATTTCTTTTAAGTTATTAGAAGATTCTAGGAGCCAGCTGGGTGTGAGCCTGTGAAGCAGGATTGTTTAAGCTCAAGTGATTATATAGGTTTCTGTGGTTCTGACTCTCATCTCAAATGAAATTTTGTTTTCTCCCCATCTTAATATTATTTAGCTAATTCTAAACTGCTCAGCCAGCATTCTGATGACTCTCCTTGTCATTTACGTTAGATTTTAAGCAGGAATCAACACCGTGTACTTTTAGTTCTACAATGTAGTCCACTTTAATAATCCATGAGAAAAACCATACCAGACAACTTTAAGGCATTCAACTGAGAAAGTATGTTTTCTGCCTCAAAGCTAGAATAGATTTTTCTTTTATTGGCAGCTCTTGTCATCAGAAAAGGCAGGAATCGGTAGATAAGCAGGGTTTTGTCTTGGATCAATAGAAACACGTTTGCTGCGAAACTGCAGCACCAATGGTCCCAGCGGTGGGTGTTGTGTGCCCTCGATGCTGGTTCCGGCTTCTTTCTTTAGTTTGTACCCAGGCTTTGTCGAATGCCTCTTTACGGGGACAGGCTTCTTTACCTATGAGGCAGGGCATCTTTTGAATCTCAAGTCAGGGATGCCTGGTGACGTAAAATTTGTGTGAGCAGCTGTAGCCGTACTGTAAGCAGCTTTTCTGTTTTGAAAACTGAAGGTAAAAGCAGCGAGCGGGTCCAGTGACCCTGACCTGAGGTCGCCAGCTGTTGACACACACAGCCCCATTTGCTTCGTATTGGATGAACTCTAGAACTTTGCAAAACTGGAAATAACATTTAAGAAAGAAATTACAAGTGTTTTTTTTTTTTTTTGAGAATCAGGTATTTCGAGTTATTCCTCTAAACACTCAGCGTCGTACAACTGCATTTAGTTCAGAATTAAATGGCAAGTTTGAGGGTCTCCTTTTTTCCCACTGTAGGAGTCAGACTAGGATTCTAGGGTTCCAGAGCCCCGCATTAATGCTGTGAAGTCTCCACACCTCGTGATACCTCACGTCCCGGCACCGCGCCCGCCGAGCTGTCTGATGTTGCCGTGTCCCGATGTCCCATGCGGGGCGCCTGCGGTGTCTGTTTATTGGCACTCAATGAATTTTGTTTTAAAATTTTCCATTATGACTTAAAGCAAAACAAAATTCATACAGTGGGGATAAATAATTCGAAGAACTTAAAAGGAAACTTGGAAATGACACCGTAAGACATTTCAGAAGAGCACAATGCCACTTTGCCTTATTTAAGTCATTTCGTATGTTAGTAAACACTAATTTTAATGCAGTCATTAAGGTCTTTTATAGAAAACTTCTAAAGTCAATCAAGATTTATGTGTCATTTGTTAAAAGTAAGTTAATTTAAAAAGATTTTACATTATTTTATAGGCAACTGCCTAGGTTCTTTGAAGCCCAAGGTTAAAAAAAAAAAAACTTGTTTGCCTTGAAAACTGGGAACATTATTATATCTAGACATGTGCTTGCTCACTCATCTAGTAGGGGGTCATTAAGGTGAATTTATTTCCTCTTCATGTGATTTGGATTGGAAGAGGCTGTTTTAGTAGTCCATGTGTAGAACTGATGGAACTGGATGTTTTCAGCTGTTTAAATAATCATCATTATGAATTATAAAATGCAAGACTATTTATGGTTTTACTTTTTTCAATGAATCAGTCGTATCACCATTAAAATCAGTCATTCAGCAACCAGTGCAGTCTGCATGAATTATTCCTTCTTCGTTCTGCCCATCGCAAGAAAGTTGGTTCTCATATTTGTCAGTAGTGATTGAAAAATGAAGGCAGAGATGTCTGAAATTACTGAAGTAGAAATGTCTGAGAGGAATATAAGTGACCAGAGAAAATTACATTACAAAGTAAGATAAAAGGCTAGGTGTGGTGGCGAGCTCCAGAGGCAGGGGGATCACTGTAAACTTGCGACAAGCCTGCTTTCTATAGCTAGTTCCGGCCAACCAGGGCTGTACAATAAGACCCTGTCTCCCTCCTTGCCCCAAAGAGACAGGTCGTGCACAAAGGTGAAGGTGGGGAAGTGAGAAGCACGCTGTGAGCGCATTCCTGGATGTTGGACCCACTTCAGTTTGTGCCTGTGGTAGAGAGTCTAGATTATCACAGACTACTCTGCAGCTCTAAAGCTCTGGCATGTTAGCCTGCCTGGGATATGTGAGATCCTTGATTTGATTCCCAGCACCATAAAATCTTTTACAAGTTTACAAAATATTCAGGTACTGAGAGATCTGAAATCCATCCCTTTTGCTATTTGCCAGAACAAATTTCATCTAAAATGTGACTGCGAGCACCCAGAAGCCATGCACAGGTCAGGCTTGATGGCATCCCGGTTACAAGCTCAGTATCTGGGGAGGAGACTCCTGTCTTCCCCTCAGCTGTGCCTCCTGCATTTATAACTCAGCAAGCGGCAGGGTCTAGACGTTCGTAGATGAACCGGATTCTGGAAAGTAGCAAGACTTGCTAGTAGATTGCACAGCTTTCTCCAAACCTGGCTATAAAGATTTTATTGTCATTGACTTTTTTGTGTGTGCTGGGGATCAAATCAAGGCCCTCGTACCTGCAGGCAGGCTGAGGTGTCAGAGAGCTGCTCCTCCCATTCTAGCTCAGACAAGTGACTTGATTGACCAGTGACTTGAGAACGGTCTCACAGTTTATGACAAATTGGCATCAAACCCCTGGTCATCCTGCCCCAATCCCTCAGTTTTGGCATAGTCAGGTGACATCATGCCTAGTTCAGATTTTTTTTTTCTTTTAAGTATTTTTTGTTCGTGCGTGTGTGCATCTTCGTGAGCCTCCAGGAGAAGAAACCATTGAATTGCCTGGAAGCTGCAATTCCCAGTGGTTGGGAACTGTTCCATGTGGGTGCCGGTGATCAAACCCAGTCCTCTGGAAGAGCAGCCAGTGTTCTTAACTGTTGAGCCATCCTTTTCTTCAGTACCTAAATTTCATTTTTTTTAAAATGAGTGCATGCGTAAAAAAAAAAGAGAAGAAAATAAAAAATTTTTAAAAATTTAAAAAAAAAAAATAAAAAAATAAAATGAGTGCATGCACGTTCATGCGAGTGTGTGTGTGTGTAGAAACTATAGGATGAACTCAGGTGTCATTCTCAGGAATGCTATCCACCCTCATTTGAGAAAGGGTCTCTCACTGACCTGGAGTTTACAGGTAGCTTAGTCTGGCTGGCCCCCAGGTCCTGGAGATCTTGTCTCCCTCCCCAGTGCTGGGGTTGCAAAAAGGTTCCGTCGTGCCTAGCATTTTCACATGGCTTATTGGATTCAAACTCAGGCCCATGTGTTTTCTACCAACTATATCCCTAGCCCCAATGCTTTCTTTTAACAAGCATATGCTAACTCAAACTAGATTAAACCAAGATTTAACTTTCAGGTATCAAATTGGCAATGTTAGTGCTAGTAAACATTTCAGTGTGTTCATCCTCAGTACTTAAAAGACTATCTGAGGAAAATTGCATATAATGTGATCTTCTAAAAGAAAGGGCATTGAATGGAAAGAAGTGGTTGGAGTTCCCCCCAAACTGTACCTTTTGAGTCATTCCCTCCAGCTCCATAAAATTGTTGGCTGTCAAATCTGAATTTGGAGCCTTTTCCTCATGGTTTGCCTGAGGGAATCTTTGTCCCTCTACCTTGAAAGATTCCTCAGGCAGAGGCCCCTGCTGCCTTTGCTACTCTTCCCCAGGAAACGATTTAGAGTTAAGTCATGGTGGGATTTAGCAGTGTTTTTTAAGGCTTTATTCTTAGCTAACTATGAGATTTCTTTGTTGTATAGGTCAATTAAAGCAATTTCTAGAAGTAGCCAGATGAGTGATGCATTTGCCATTGGGGAAGAAAGTGTTGGCTAGTGATATCACTTTATGGATGAGCCATGTATACACACCTCGCTAATGTGGGCCATTGTCAGTCTGTCTTCAAGATCCCAGAGTGCTTAGGTTGGTGCTGATTTTGCCTTTGGCACCTTAAAATGTTTATCTGTGGGTTGGGGAAGTGATCCAGAAGTTAGGCACAATTGTCCTTCAGAGGACAAGAGTGATTCCCAGCACCCAAGTCAGTGACTCACACTGCAACATTAGAAGAACCACACCACCAGAGCCACGTGGAGGCTGAAAGATAGAGCTTTATCTAGGGGAACGAACTTTCGGGCTGTCCGCAAGAGAAGGAAGAACAGCCCTGCTAAAGGGAATCTTTATAGGTTTTCATTGGAGTTTTATAGGTTGATTTTAGTTGAGCAGGAGACCGCAAAGGGGAAAGGAACGGCAGCAGGCAAAAGGGACTTCTGTAAGCAAATTTTATTAGGAAGGCCCCTGGCTCTTAGAATAGCAGAAGGCTGTTCTTCTGAGATAAGGGATCAGCAGACTTACAAGATGTGCAAAATATCCAGAGGGGTTGGTTCCCACAAAAGTGTTTGTCTTGCTATCTTAGATGACTCCATCTTGTGCTAGCCCAACCGCATACTGTAACTCCAGCTCCAGGAGAATCTGACACGCTTTTCTGCTTCCCCCTACCCATGGCATTTGTTCATACAAACAAATAAAAACAAATCTTTAATACACACACGCACACATATGGCGCTTTTTTTGTATCAGGTATTTCATGATGTGCTTCCTGCCAGTGAGGGAAATATGTTTGCTTTTTGGGGAACTGGAAATACTCATCTTCCCACACTGGGGGTAACTGATGAACAGCATTGGTGCGGAAGATCTTGACTGACTAGAGAACTGTGTGCAGAAGGATTCCCTACCTTTAAGATTAGCTAACAGAAACCAATGTGATTTTAAAAGGCCATTGAAAAACATTCTGAACATTAACTCTGCTGGCTTAAATATTGCTAAGTATTTATAATTTGTTTATTTAATATTTTGTTTTATTTATTTGTCTTTAGACAGATTAGAAAACTCCCCGGCCTGTGACGATTTAAAAGAAATGCTTTCTCGTTAGAGAAATTTTCCCTACCCCTCCACTCAGAGAAGAACACCCATTTTCAAATGTTCCTTGAAGCCCATCTTGTCTATCAACCGACGGTTAGCAGGCACTAGTTTACTGCATGTTCTGCACACCTGGCGGGTAATATTACTTCCTTTCTTGGCATAATCACCGTAGCATACTGGGTACAGCTTGCAAAGGGGTTAGATAGGCATAACTCAAAGGGCATCTATTGTTTTCAAACAAAAAAGTCTTCTGTTTCAGCCACACCTGTCCTTCCAACCCACGCTCTGCTGAGGAGCACACTTCTTGGACGGAGGCTTGTATGCAAGGCTCTTCCACAAAACACCACTAGCTAGCCCTTCCCTTCCTTTCTTCCTTCCCTCCTTATAATTTTTCTTTCTTTCAGGAGCAAATGCAGTGAGAAATTACAGGAATAGAAACAAGTAGTTCATTCATTGTGGAGCTGTTGGAACGATCCCTTAAAGAGTTTGCGGAGACAGGAGAGAAAAAGGAAAAAGCACGGTGAATTTGAAAATACCATTCCTCTGTGTGTGTGTGTGTGTGTGTGTGTGTGTCTGTGTGTCTGTCTGTCTGTCCATCTGTCTGTCTGTCTCTCTCTGTGTATGTGTGTGTGTATACTTATGTGTTTGCTAGTAGAGGCCAGAGGTCAGGTGCCCTCCACAACCACTCTTCACCTTGCTGTCTCTAACAGGATCTCTCACTGAACCTGAAGCTAGCTGTTTTTCTTAGACTGCTCAGCTAGTCCCAGGTACCTGTCTGTCTCTGCCACCCTCTCCCCAAGCCCCAGTACTGGGGTTCCTGGTTTTTAAATGGATAAAAACTTGGTTCTTATGCATGTGTCCAAACAGCACTTTACCTGCCAAACCATGGCTAGCTTTGGGAGAGAGGGGACAGGAGAGTTAGGAAGCTATCAAGAGAATGAATCGTCCTGATACATTTTCTTCTAATACTTGATGGAAGCATATAAAGATGGAGAAGGAGGTGTCCCTACATAAAATACATGAAAAGTTTCAGGCCCCAGTTCCAGGGCAACCTGTGTTTATCTGTATTCTTTAGTAATAGCAGCATGTCCAGGAAATGGAGAGAATAGGGGATTTATGTTAGCCTGAGTCCTGTTAGGCTGGGTTTTGTGTTTCTAAATCAATTGACAGTTGCAAGGATTTGTCAAGGAATGTGGGGAGTGAAGAAACCTGTTGCAAAGACTTCTGGCTTCCAGGCCATAAAAGGTAGGTGGGCCTACAGAAAAGCTTGAAGCAAAAAGAAGGGATTAGCTAGTTGTTTCCAGGCTGTTGAGGTATAATTGACAAGCAAAAATTATATGTCATTAAAGAGTATAGCAGGATGTTTTGATAGATGCTCACACTACTAAGAGATTACCACAATCAAGTTAATTAGAATATTCATCATACCTTACAGCTGCCTTTGTATGGTGGAAACAC